ATTCTCGTAGCCTTCTCTTTTTCAATTCTTGTCGATTTCTAGAAGGAATGAAGGAATCGTGGCTCGTCGCGGGATTTTTAATTTTCGATTGAAGTGACCATAGTGTGGTTTGGCGTGGTATTGTAAGGTAATATTTTTTAATATTTTTTTTTTTTTTTGTAGCTTTTGTAGCTTTTTTGATGCTTTAATTTGGAGGAGAAGGAATTGATTTAGCATTATTTTATCCCCCTATAGATAGTATAAATTGATATGGAATTATTTCCAATAGCGTTCCAATAAAGTTGGGAAAATTGTATTTATTCTTCGTATTTTTCTTTATATTCTTCATATTTTTCAACTGCTTCCGTACCTTTGCTGTTTTGATACTCATGCTGCAAAAACTGCAAGTAATAGTAGAAATAATTTTAAATTATTATACTCTAATGAAAATTGATGTACAGTAGAGTTGTACGATTGTGCATTTACACGAAAGTGACATATTTGTGTTTTAAAACTAATTAATGGATATATTCGTGTAACATTTCAAAATGATTGTTTTCCGGTATTTTAATTCCAGAAAAAAATATTGCAACGGATTTATACCAATTGGTACGGTATAAATATACTAAAAGTATTTACGCGAAAATAAATAAAATGTCCAGATGAACAAAAGTACTCGTATTATAATATTTGGCAGAAGAAAGAAATTTTCATTTAAATTTATTATTACATTCGCAATTCGTAATACACAACTATCCAACTAAATTTCCATAAATATTCACTGCCTGGCCATAAATATTTTGCGCTATTGTTTTACGTTTTAGTATAAAAAAAAAAAAAAAAAAAGGAAAATAAAAATCCATTCGTCGCATCCAGAATTTGCACGATTGTCTGTAAAGAGGAGATCGATGAAAATTAAAAGTAACGTGCATGAGAACGGAAACAAACACGGCTCGGTGCATTGTGAACGAGTTACATAAATCTAGCCGGCTAATTTGTGCAAGTAGCCGTGTGTAAAGGTTGCACAAACCCTAAATTGTAACGTCAATGCCAACCGAGAATGAAGTGTATGTGTTCAATTCATTCACTTCCTATTCAACTTTGATTCGTCCGCATACTGATCCACGCGCTATTAATCCTCTATGGAGCAGAATACAGAGTTGAAAATCACGTACGTGCCCTCTTGCTCCTCTTAAGCAATTAATTCAAATCAAACCCGTGGTTTCTCACGTTTGCATAAATCAGACCCAAGTCGCGTTAATTTGAAAGTTAGAAGTTGAAATTCACGATTGAATGCAACATTCTAGAAGGCCTGCAAAAATCGATGGGGAAAAATTTCCATGATTTGAGGAATTTGTCAGTAATGTCGATCCTCTATTTTGAGAAAAATTACGATAAGTTTATCGAACATCCGTGCACCAATTTATCGGGAAAATTCTAGTCAGATGTAATTTCAGAATGATCGTAGCTTGTAATAAATTACAAAGATCGCCGAGGAGAAAGTTTTCCCGATGATAAGGAAGACATGATAATGAAAATAAATAATAATATTGATGATGATCGAAAATTGATCAACTGAACGTTAAATTACGTTTTAGAAATGTTGCATTATACTGAGTAACCACAATGTGAAATGCTACATACTTTCAAACCAAAAAAAAAGAGAAAAAAAAGAAAAAACAGAAAAGTAAAGTAAAACGCTGTGTTCATGGAAAATTGGCCCTTAATGGATCAAGAACCTTATCTTCGTTGGAACATTTCCATTCCACTCGCCGCAAACACGAGTGTCCGCAGAAAAATTCAAACATCGCCGGGTTATTTATTCACCGATAAAACGAGCGCGGTGGCCGGGTATTTTTTTCACGTTTTCAGACCGCAACCAAGGGGAGGGGGTGGGGGGAGGGGGATGCGAACGAGCCGCGTGCTAACCACGAAGATGGCCTGTAGTCGCGTAATTGAAAAATACCCATGGTCGCGCGTTGTCTGCCGCCGTGTTTCGGCTAGAAGGGACAAAGCTCACCCCTTATGGCGCTCTGACGCTGTTAGCGAGGGGCGACGATGGGAAAACGAAGTAGAAAAACTCGGTTGACTCTCTCTCTCTCTCTCTCTCTCTCTCTCTCTCGTCCCCGTATCATCCGACAGCTAATCTCGTGGTAAATAAACGATATTTTAACAATTACAAAAAAAAAAAAACATAGAACTACTTAAAAAGCGACGTTCCCTTCCCTTTCGTCGCAAACAAAATCCGCAGTTGCCAAAAACTGCCGTGCAATTTCAAGAAAGAACCGTACGATTACTCTTCAAAGACGCGTGTCCATTCTGCAAAAGTTTCGCCCGCGCGGGCAAAAGGCAAGAGACAAAGACAAAGATGATTCCTTAATAGGAACTCAGACTGCGTGACTCGTCTTCGTTTCCACTCGACTTGACCGGACCGAGATCTGCCGCGACTCGCCAAAAGAAACACGCCAGAAACAGACGCAGCCGAACTGCCCTCCACTCGTCGGAGTGTCTCGATCACGCGAACGCTCGAGCGCACGTTCGAGAGGAATATTCAGCTTGGCCGCGCGATTATCGTGAAACGAACGTCGATAAAGAGGATTGGCCGAGTGGCCATCTTCGACCAGGCGGCATCTCGTCGCCTCTGAACCCGAACGACACCGAGAGCGAAAGCTCTTTCCTTTCGCCCCCAACTCCCCACCCTCTCTTCTTCCCCCTTTCTCACCAGCTTCCAGCCACTTCCTCCTTCTCGTTTCTTCCCCCTTTGTGCTCATTCCGCTTCCTTTGTTCCCCAGTTGTACGCCAGCTTGTTCTTTCCATCTGCGCTGGACTCGCCCGTTTCGCCACGAACCGTCGTCTCTACGATCGTGCGACATTACCCTTCTTCTTCTTCTTCTTCTTGCGAATCGTTGGACCATCGTCGTTGGGATCTTTCGAGGAGCTGTGTCGCGATTTCTTCTTCTTCTTCTTCTTCTTCTTCGCGATTCAGAGAAGAGTTTTAGGGAGGAAGGTGTTCACTGGACCAGCAGTCATTTTGTTACGGTGCGCGAAAAGAGTGTTCGTAACCTTCCGGGTGTTTCGAGCTTTCTCCCTCTCAATTTGATCTTTACGTCGACCATCGTGCGGATGTGCGTGCGTTGAAGGATTTTTAGATAGACGATCTGGGACTATTCTCGAGCGATGAATCGGTACTGTGAGTGAACGAATGTATTCAAACTTTTTTACAAATGTGTTGTATATGTTTCGTTAATATTGCAGTTGTATGAATGATTACATTACGTTGGTATCGCTGTCAAGTGTGAAACAATACTTTATGCAAGGATCACGATGCAGTCTCGTTTAATTATCTGTTGTATCAGTAAACCTTAATATTCAGTGAGATCTTTAATATTATATGTAAGAATTGGTTACTTACTTGCAATAAATATTTGCAATATCTATACGTAAATTTTCAGATTCATATCGCATGTCAATGTTGAGAAAGTTCCAACACACGTAATATACTAAACGTAAAAATTGTTCCATAAGAAATGTTTGAATATTTTCGTATTTCTTAACCACGTTGCGCTGACAACTGATTGCGGACCGTAACGAGCGACCAAACCGTACACAATAATTCGCCACCTTCTTTCTAAACTCGTCCGTATCACATCACTGGATAGAAATTATTGACAAGGGATAATAAATTTATTAGCCTGAGTTATACTTAAATATACTCAAAACTGAGAAAATATTGCAATTTGGGGGCAAAATTGCTTGGCAAGAGGTTAAAAATTCATTTCCTGAAATTACCTGCTGTATCACTTACTATCGATATATGTTATTTCTTAGTTACTATTAAATATCATAAATTGACAAACAATATCTACGCATCAGATTTATTTTGTATACTTTTCATCATTCACAATCGAGTCAGCCAGAAATTTGAAAAACGGCACCGTGTATCGCGAGGGCAATCGTTAAAATTCTGTTGGCCCGTAAACGAGTTCCAAATTACCGTAGAGGGCAGATAAAGCGAGAGAGAGGGTGAAGACTCTGATAAGAGAGGGAGGGGGAGGGCTTTGTTGCAAAGCAGCCGGCAAGCCTGGAAAAGCATTATGCGAATACGTTGAAGAACGATTGGCTCTCGTTCGAGGTTCCGCGGAGAGGGCCGTGTAACCGGAAGCGGCGTTCCGTATCAATGCGCGATCGTGAAAAGGAGCCGATAACACGGACCCGAGGCCGCGGTAAAAGCGACCACCTTTCGAAGATACTCGCCCTCCTACCACTCTTTTAATGTGATTTCGCACTCGTTGGAAACTATTCTCGAACGCTCTTGACGGAGAGTGGGCCCCTTTGTGCGTGACTCGTGAATTTTTGTTCGAGATTTTCTTTCACTCTGCCATACCTCTCTCTCTCTCTCTCACTTCAAATACTTTGATATTCCATCAAAAATGAGATAAAGAGCTAGTGCGATGTTTTATTAAAGACGATGGTAATTTAGGAAGCGAAAAAAATGGCTGAAAGTTAGTTTCGAATGTAGAATAATATTGGTTGATTATATTAATAATATTGTATTATTTTATTAATGAGAAAAAGGTTTGTTCAGAAAACGAATTTTATTATGTCAATAATATTGCATCATTTTATTAATGAGAAGAAAATTTGTTTAGAAAAGGAATTTAGGAATTTAGAATAACATCGGTTGACNATATTAATGACATATGAATTATTTTATTAATGAAGAGAGAGTTTGTTTAGAAAAGGAATTTTATTATATTAATAATATTGCATCATTTTATTAATGAGAAGAAAGTTTGTTCAGGAAAGAAGTTTAGGAATTTAGAATAACATTGATTAGGATTATCGCTGCACGATGAGCAAACGGTGGGATGCTTACGTACCTTTACATTATCGCGAAGGAATAGAAACTAAACGAAAATTATAATCTTTCGATATTTTGTACACTACGTACACATGTTTTATTACAATATCGATAAATCTTCAAACGTAACGATCAATTTTCCATTTCCCTCGTTACAGTATCTCGTGGGATCGTCGAGTAACCACCACCACCGAGGCAACAGAAACACCCGAAACACACTCGTCGCCCTCGCAGTCGTCTAGTGGGCGAATCGTCGAGGAGTCGCGTGAGAGGAGCGGTCGGCGGCAAAACGGCCGATCGTGCGGACCCGCTGAGTGCTATTCCGCGGCTGCGAGGACCAGCAACAGCCCGAAGATTCTCCCAGCAAAGGGCAAGATGCACATGGAGGTGCAGGTGGCGCTCAACTTCGTGATATCGTACCTCTACAACAAGCTGCCGCGCAGGCGGGTGAACATCTTCGGCGAGGAGCTGGAGAAAGCGTTGAAGGACAAGTTCAAGGGCCACTGGTACCCGGAGAAACCGTTCAAGGGATCCGCGTTCAGATGTTTGAAGACTGGCGACCCCGTGGACCCGGTTCTCGAAAGGGCGGCCAAAGAGAGTGGCGTGCCGATTCAGGACATCCTCGAGAACCTACCGGCGGAGCTCGCCATCTGGGTGGACCCCGGGGAGGTGAGCTACCGGATCGGCGAGATGAACGCGGTGAAGATTCTGTACTCTGAGACTGGCGATCCACACGACGAGAGTTCCGCCGACCGAGAGGTGACCAAGACGTTCAACCCGGAGGCACAATGCTTCAGGCCTATCGAGGCCGTGGGCACGTCTCTGAGCGGGCTCAGCCTCAGCCCGAAGTCCACGTCGCCGTTCCCGAGCTCGTTGGGAAGCAACGCGAGCAACGGGTCGTCGAACAATCAGCAAAGTGGCCACGGGTCCGGTTCCTCGTCGGCACCGTCGCCAACGCCCATCACGAGCTCGTTCAAGGGCTCGCCTAGTCCTGTCCCAGCTTTCATCCCACGTACCACCGCGCCGCTCACATTCACCACCGCCACCTTCGCGCAGACCAAGTTTGGCAGCACCAAACTGAAGACCAGCAGCAAACGGGCAAACAGGTTGGTGGATATTTCTCGGTTGATATCGATTTAAGTTTGTTTTTGTCAAATAATTGCGAATATAGAGAAAAAGAAGGATCAAATTCTCCCACAAGTTCTACGCTTGATCCACAAAATCCCAGATACACGCACCAATTGCTAACCAACGAACTAGTATCCTATATACGCACCGCATAACCCAACGTAACGTTTCGATCCAAATGACCTAACCACAATACAACCCCCCGGTAACCAACCTACCAACTGCCAGACAACTGAACCGCTCTCAATCGTACCGTTTCAGAATGTCCCCCACCGAGTTCTCGAACTACATCAAGCAGCGTGCCATGCAGCAACAGATCCACCATCATCATCACCATCAACAGCACCAACAGCAGCAACAGCAACAGCAACAGCAGCAACAACAGCAGCAGCAGCAAGCAGCGGCTGGCGGTCTGCCAGTGTCGCAGAGCTCTCCTCGCAGTCGCAGCCTCTCGCCAGGAAGCATAGTGACAGGCGCTGGTCAGCAACACGCCGACCCAAGCGCGTACTTCTTTCAGCACGGCCCGGCCGCGTATCACCCACAATTCCCACACCGCAACATCTTCGACTCGTCCAGCCACGGTGGCTACCTCTCCGCTGATTTGTACACAGGCGTGAACTTTCCGTCGTCCTACCTCGACCCAACGACCATCGCTGGCCACCAGTTCTACGGTGGCAGCGTGAACGGAACCAGCAACGCGGCCGGCAGCAACGGGAACTCGCAGAGTGCCGGAAATCTCGGCCCGGTCGGCTCAGCAGCGACGAACAGCAACGTGAACGGCTCTGGCCAGCAGCAAGACAAAACGACGTTGGTCGAGGGTCTGAACAACTTCGGCCTGGGCTCGGTGACGCCGTACCCGGCCAGCCAGTACCAACACCTGCTCGTAGCCAACTAATACCAACCGGCGCGAGTGGAGACCGAGCGGCTGGCGCGGCTCGAATCGCGCCTGATCCTCTGCTGCTTCGCCGGGCAGGAAGGTGGAGGATCGGAGGATCGTCTGAGAGACCGGGCCGTTTCCTCATGACCGTTCCAGTCTCTCGTTCAACGTGCGACCTCGAGACCGACGTCCAGAGTCTAGGTTCCGTGACCCTGACACACACACACACACACACACACACGGGCACACACACACACATACACACACATCGACGTACATGTACACAGAGAGAGAGAGAAAGAGAGAGAAAAAAAAGAGAGAGATAGAAAACCAGATTTCTGCTTGCACACCAACCGATCGGAGAAGCTTGGCTCTGTCTCTCTCCGGTGAAGCAAGAAACATCTAAGTCGCCAATTGGCTACACCTCTCTGAACGATAGTCAGAATTGTCGATCTGAAATCGGATCGTGCGACGACGACGACGTCGAGGTTTTTTCATCGATGGAAAGTGATTTCGACGCCTGTTCTTTTTTTTTTCTTTTTTTTTCTCTCATTGGAGAGAGGATATTCTCGTGCGTGAACGAGGAGGGAGAGGAAGAGGAGAGAAGTCTTCGGCAATCAGCAGACACCGGGGAAGAGGAAGAGACACACGCATCGGTTGAACGCGCGCGCGAATCAAGACGACGCGAGACTGTCGCGTGATGGAGAGATGTGGAAAGAGGAAGGGAGAACGAAAGAGAGAGAGAGAGAGAGAGAGAGAGAGAGAGAATGTGCGAAAGAGTTAGAGAGAACGAAAGAGAGAGAGAGAGAGAGAGAGAGAGAGAGTGAGAGTGTGATTACATAGAGCGTGATTACATAGAGGATTTAATGCGGCTGTGTGCTGAAGCGTGCGTGCGCAAGACGTTCGTCGGGAGAGGAACGAAGAGGATGAGGAACGGTTCGACGCGACGGGACTCGCGAACGCGAACTTTCCGACCGACTGACAGAGTGACAGAGAGCCGCGTGTAACCTAAACAATCTGCAACCGGAAGACAGCAGAACGCGGAACCCCGATTCCGATGGCGCTAGGCGTCACCCTTCGACCTTTCGAAGCATTCTTCACCTGTGTGTTGACCTGAGACGTGAAATATGGAAGAAAATTATCTATAAGAGAAGAGAGGTCACACAGAGCTCGTTCCGGAAGGGGAGAGAAAACAAAAAAGAAAGAGAGAGAGAGCGAGAGAGAAATATAATGAAAATGTCGAACGATCACGCCATGCGCCCACATCTGGAAAACAGTGAAAGAGCCACAGAGATACAGTTACACACGATACAGATATACGTATACTCGCGTGCAATGTGACGTGCGTGAAATGACACACATACACACACACACACACACAAACTCCCCGAACCATTTTACCTAGCGATCTATACACACGTAACCGTCTACGTTTAATAACCACACGGAACGCCCCGCCTGACTGCGTGGCGTGCTGCTGACACTTACCGATCGTATATATATTATATATGTATACATACATATATATATATATATATATATATATATATATATATACTTACACACAAAGAGGCATACAGGATACACACAGAGACATCATGGCGAGCATCGGGCGTCCGTGCGTGTGACGCTGGAGGAGGGCGGGGTGTGCGGACACTTAATAATCGCGCACCACTTTCACCATAACACACGTATACACACAGATAATTACCAACGTGTAATAATTTATTTTTTCACTGGTATAGTCGGAGAATTGATATTGAAATATATCTGTAGAGCCTATGTATTATATTCAAAATGTGCACTCACTTCGCGGGTTGTCGCGAGACGGTATAGGGACCTGCCTGTGTCACGCTCCGTCGTGATCGTCGACGAACGTAACAACCCGTTCGTAGTCGCATGTACCAAGCATTCCTCCCCCTCCCCCTCCTTCTCCCTCGTTCGTTCCTCTTGTTTCGGCGCGTTCGATCCGAACGCCGGAAGCACGAAAGAGGAAGAACGGCTGCGAGGGGGAGGAGGAGGATGGACGTGGGAGGGAAAGAAAACACGAGGAGGAGAGGAGGAAGCCGTTGAATTGTCGGGTGAGAAAGAAACAACGGCTGCCGACAACGGGGATTGTTCCGACACTTCTCGACCTCGGGACGGCGGATCGGTGGTCGGCCGGTTCCGATACCGTTCGGAGAACTCGTCCTCGGTACGATTTTACATTTTATTTTTATAATAAATGCAGTAGAACGTAGGAGATGAAAAAAAAAAAATAAGAAAGGAAAGAGAAGAAATACTGGCGGAAGAAAGAGCGGTGGTGAGAAAGAAGGAGGGGGGGAAAAAAAGAAGAGATAGAGAGTGGCGGCGTGTTCGCACGAACGGGAATATGGCCGCGTTGCGTCGCTGCCCCGCCGCTCGTCTCGCCCGTACCCGCCGCTTCCGGTCCCGGAGTTTAATCTCTGTCCGCAGCGTATTCCCTTTCGACGTGACGTCCTCACCCCTCCTCCCCTCCCACTCCCCCTCCCCCCCCTAATTCTACGCACGCGTGACGTCGTCGCCGAGATTCCAGAAGAGGGAGCAGTTCATCGCGATCGTGATCGTGATCGTGATCGTGATTGTGATCGAACTCCGGAGTCAGACGACGTCAGTCTGAACGCGAACTTTCCTAATTTCACCGCTGCGAAGAGCTTCCGGCATTTCTTCGATTCTCTATTCGTTATACGCGATGTATAATCGATCGATCGTACACGGGCGCGCCACCCGGGGGGCCAAACGGTTGTTCGAACTTCCGTCGACGATGTCGCAAGAACGGGGACAAAGGGCACGTCGAGGAGGGGAGGAGGCGGCAAAGCGGTGGGGGTTGAAGAGGGTTGGAGCAGCGAGCGAGCAGCCGCGTTCGCGTTCGCGAGATTAATTAGGTGATTACGTTGTTAAAGGCCACTGTTACTGTCCTCGACGGCCGCGCCACGACCGTGCTCGTGACCCCGAATACGAACACTTGCCGGGCTCTGTGCAAACGCGAGCGATCGCGACGAAAGAAGTTTCTGAAAGAGAGAGAGAGAGAGAGAGAGAGAGGGTTTTGCAGACTTTTTGGAAAAACAGACGCGAAGGAGTTTGAGCAAGTTTAGCTAGATCGTTTTGCACGTACGTTTTTTAGTTGACTTGAATAATAAATGAATGAATAAACGTTTATTAATTAGGTTTCTCGAGAAATCCAGGGCAGAGGAAAACAGATTGCAATTGATATGTCATGCTTACTTGACGACGACTTGACGACATCTGCCGAAATGTCTAAAAATGTACAGTACGGGGGAAATTGATCGTTTCGATTGAATATTTCGCACCTGTCCACCTTTACGAATCACCTGAGGTGAATCTGAAAACGTACGAGATTGATTGTTTCATTTAGGACGGATCAACGACGAGCCATTTTCACCAAACAGTCTGAGATATCTAAAAACGTCCAGTAAAAGACTCAAGTCGATTGCTCGATTCAAATTCAAACACGTCTAACACGCCGCTAGAACGGTATTATCGATTCGAGGCGAATCTTTCTATTTTTATAAAATACGTCGGCGACGTCCAAAAAAAAAAAAAAAAAAAACGTACGGTACAAGTTGATTATTCCATTTGACTCCCCCTTAGCGCTTGAAGTCGTCAGAGACCTGAAATAGGCCATGAGCAACTTTCAACGTATATTTCTTCGACAAGATAAAAGAGTAAAACAAAATTATTTCGTCGTTCGTTGCATCACGAATACTAAACGTTCAACGAGATCGAAACGAACAAACTTGCTCTGTGTCGTGTACAAGACGAGTCTGATCGTAAGGCTAGAAAAAGAGAAAGTCCAAGAACTCTGCAAGAGCCCGAGGGCCTCACGAGCTGAATGCAACGACAGCCTGACGAATCCGCGTAAGATCGATATCGGTCACGGTCAGTCTCACGTCCGTCGAGCAACGTTGACAAACGATGAAAACGATGACAGCAACGATGGCGGAGGTGCCGCGAGCCGCGGGCCGGGCACTAGGTGCTAAAAGTATTAAAAAAAAAAAAAAAAAAAGTGTTTAATCTTGTCGTCGTGGAACAAACGTACGGAATACGCGCGGCCGGAGATTGTCGACTTGCTCGTCTCGTCCTTGTTTGTTGCGTCGTTTGAAAGTGGGTTTTGAAGGAGGAGGTTCGCGTTCGCGGTCGATCCCGGCGGTCGGTCCCGGCCGTGTCTTCTCTTAGGACTCTTAGCTTCTCTTAACGAGAACGTTTAGCGATGAATCTTCGTATCGTGTAAGTGTGTAACAAGTGTAGTATCATTTCTAGACATTTCGTGACTTTTCGCCGTTCTTTCGTACGGATTTTTATATAGCCAGTTTTGTATGATCGACGCATCGGGCCAGCAGCTTCCTGTACTGCGCGTCTCCGTTCCGTCTAAAACCACCGCGAAAACGATCGACCGACCTCGAACGCGCGGTTCCGTGTCTTCGTTTCGAAAGGAATTCCTTGACGAATCGTTCTCTCGAAGGATCGTGATTCCCTCGCTAGGGGAGGCATTGCTCTCTTCCTGGTAGCACGTCGAACCTTCGAAAGATCAGCGAGAGATTGGCGACGAGCCAACCTCGAAGCCTCGCGTTAGAAATAATTGGAAAACTACTTAGAACCGGAATCATGATTCACACTAAGAAAAGGAATTCCTTGCTAAATAGTAAATTTTATCAAACAAAGAGAGAGATCGTTTCTGATTCGGAAAAACCGGCGATCGAAGGGAGAGAGATTCGACGAAGCGAGTCGGCAGTTCTCCGAGCGCGCCAGGGGTGCTAAAAAAAAGAAAAAAAAGAAAAAAGAGAAACACGTTTTTAAATCGCGGAACTAATAAGGGTAAAAATGGGGGCGAGCAAGCTCGAGGGAACAGAGGCGCGAGGGGACAAGGCGAGGAGATCAGTACCCTTTAGTAATATCTAAACTTAATTGTAACTATTAACGATACGTACGACTGTGGTAGCTATGCTAGTACCTGCTATTGTTAAAGAAACAGAGAGAGAGAGAGAGAGAGAAATCGATTGAAAGAGTGGACAAAAAAGGAAGAAAGACAGAGAGAGAGAGAAAGAGAGAGAAAGAAACGTGAAAGATCGCGATTTTTAAGGTTTAGGTTCGTTGCGGAAGACGAACGTCATCCTGGCATCTAGATTTAACAATAAATCTAATTACGGTAGAGACTCTCGCGTAGAAACTAACAGGGAGGCAAAAGTTAATTAGGATAAATATAATGAAACGATTATTTCTTTGCTGTTTCAAACGAAGATTAATGCGTTTAAATTTGGTAACCAAGAAATGGTTTATTCTAGTAAATTTGACCATTTTAAACATTTCTTTTTTTTTTTTTGGTATATATAGAAATTGAAATTACTCCAAAAATTATTTCATTGGACTATGAATATGAGTACATACATGATATAATAATTGTAATATTTTGAATTTGCTAAGAAAATTATAATTTTCACTTATCATCTAACATTCTCTGTAAAGTTGTATTCTTTTCTTTTTAATGCCTCGAATGTTAAAACACGTCATTCTCATCTGTTTCTGTTCGTCCAAATTTTTAAGAAAAATAATAATTAAACGATAAAATAAATCGCTTTTGCAATACGTCAGACACGTATATTGATCAATTTCATAAATTAGAAAAGCGTAGAAAAATGGTTTTTCTTTTCTACTATTAGACTTATCTACTACTGTACGATACTCGATACAATTTCCTTTCGATGACTAAATTTATGAATGTCGTTCAAAGATTGAACAATCAAAGAACAAATTAATGAAAAAAATTAAGTCAACGTCACGGTGTTTGGACAATGGAGAGACTCTACTGTAGCTCGTTCGGATCGTTAGTTTCCCGCAAAGGAGGGATGAAAATAACAACCCTGACAGAGCATCGAGGATCGACGATCTAGGCTCGAGACGCGGAGAGCTCCTCGCGGCGATTATTTTTCTAATCTTTGTAACCGAACGAAACTGAGTTCGCGGCGAAACACCGCGAGTGAAGTATCCTCGACTCGACCGGAAGGAGGTCCTCACAGAGAGATGGCGAGGCGATCTCGGCCGCGCTTTGGTCGTCGATCTCGGCGTCTCGAGACGTGTCGCGTGATCCTTCCTCGACGATTGAAGGAAGAGACACAAAAAAGAAAAAAGAAAGAAAGAAAAGAAAGAAAGAAGGAAGGAAAAAGTCGAGGAAGAAGAGTCGGCGTGAGGGGGAAGGGAAAGGCGTTGGAGGAAGCAAGCGTTGCAATAAGTTGCGAATCAAATGTGGATCTCGGTTTGAGACGAGAGGCTCAGCTCAGCGAAGAATCAAACACACGTACACGATGTATACTCTTCTAGTAAAACCAAAAAAAAAAAAAAGAAAAAGGGAAAAAAAAACGAGAGAAAAATCGGAAGGCGCAGCGAGCGAGAGAGATGTTGAATCGAATCGAAATGGAAGAGGGTTGGAAACGGAGGAGGTGAAGGGACGAAGCGATTGATATAGAGCATACATTGAGATACACACAAAAAGAAAAAAAAGATAAACATATAGTATTATACGATTACAATACGATTGTAATGAAACACTTTGTAAGCAAGGAAACAAAACAAAAAAAAATAATAATAATAATAATTACGCATAGTTTTCCATAATCTGTAATGGATGTATTCGTTAACAAAAAAAAAAGATATAAAAAAAAAAGTAACGACGACGAGTGGTTAAGGTTAATAAAAAAAAAAAAAAAAAAAAAAAAAAAAAAAAACAAAAAAAAAAAAAAAAAAAAAGAAGAACACACGTACATGACACACACGATACACACACGTACACGTATACACAAACAGACAGACACATATACAGCTGAATAATCGTTCGAAGTACACGCTCGGGTACACACGACACACAAGAAGTAAACGAAAAATAAAAATGACGAAAAAAAAAGTAAACTATTAATTAATAAAACACGTGACGAAAGAAAGAGAGAGAGAGAGAGAAAGCGCGAAAGCGAGCGAGCGAGAGAGAGAGAGAGAGAGAGAGAAAGAGACGTAAAACAAAACGGTAAATTTGTCTCTTTAAAAAGTATCATGTGTCTATAAACTATAGCGATCGATATTGTCTTTTTAACCGTAAATGGAGAAACAAGTAATCGTGGTAACGTAACTAATGTCATAGCGATAACCGAACACTGCAATATTAGATATAATATATATTCATACATTTATAGATTGGAGAAAGCGATGGTTAGAGAGAGAAAGGGAGAGAAAGAGAGAGAGAGAGAGAAATAGCATGAAAGAGAAAATTGTGCGTGGCTCTGACACGCGTAATTTATGGAAACAGAAAACGGAAAAAAAAAGCTGAAAGCAACTCGAAACGGTACATCATCGATTCGTACTCGCTCCTCTTCTTTGTCGAAAGCTAAATGAAAAAAACGAAAAAAAAAAAAAAAAAAGAAATGAAAAACCGAAAAAGAGCAAAAGGAAACAAAAGGAAAATAATAATACACACATGCCAGCGCACGCGGTAAGAGAGAACGATGTGAACAGCAATGGCGCGCGTGTCAGAGCAGAAGTGAACAAACGCGGTACGATCTCCAGGCACAGTTGAAAAGAAA